TGTTCAAAATTCTCAAGATACGAAATTTGGGGGATACTTTTAAGGGTTCACAAAAACTAGTCCAATAGAGTTAGTTCGGGTAACAGAATACATTTAACGACAGGATATAGTTAATAGGGTTTTCGTTTCTTGGCGACATTAAGGGACCCCCATTCTCGATTTTAAGTTTAAATGAACACCAATGCTATATATACAGTCGAATTCGGATAAGCGAACGCCGGTTTATCGAAAAAATCGGTTAATTGAAACTAAAAATGTTAAACTAATATATCGGATGAATTTTCAAACACTCTACTTCGCTTAAAAGAAAACTGGTTAATTGAAAATCTGTATAAGAGAAGGACTTTTTTGTTGCAAAAACACATTTATAGGAAGTGATGCAAATGTGGTATACACATTTGTTTTTAGATTGCCAAATTTTTATTTTGTATCCGATTAAATTGAAATTTTGCACATAACATGCTACATGTGTTGTCTTTCCATGTATCAATTTGAAAATAAAACTATTCTAACAATTTAAGAGATATATGAGAAAATATTTGAAATTCCATTAAAAGTGATTTTAAAAAAAGTGAAGGTAATGTGGTATACCACATGATGTTAATGTGGTATAGTATAATTTTCACTTTCAATTAATATCTTATGTAATTTATTGTTTTTAGTGAATGCGAATTAGCTCGAGATTTATGTCTGTTAAGATTTTGAACGGATAGGTTGAGTGGAACTTTAATTTTTAATATGTAATAATTTCTACACATGACAATATTTAATTTTTGTATGGAGAAGTCGTTAAAACTTATAGCCTTTGTTTTTCATCCTTGTGATTTAGACCCTCGTAGAGTACAAATGTTTCAAATAGTAATGAGATTTTGTCTAGTGCTGGCTTTTTCATGCAGACTCAAGGTATACCACATTACCTGCACTTGTGTTTACTGAAGAAATGTTTACTTTTTTCCTAAATTGGTGATTATGTGGTGCAATAGCGCATATTATTTGATTTTTAGTTCATACTAATTATTTTAATGCTTTAGTAATAACGATTAAATTACATCCGTAAAACAAAAAATTATTTTTAAACTTGAACCGATAAAAGTCATTTTCATGAAAAATTTAATTTTTGGTACTGATTCTCAACGTGATTTAAATAAATTAAACAGATCATTGCTATCTTATTTTTTGAGAACAGTTTGCTGTTCTCAAAAAATAATAACATGTTTCAGTTAATCTAAAATTTTTAGTTTACAAAAAAGTGACTATACCACATTACCAACCATTACCACATTTGCATCACCTCCTCTATATATGAAACGAGCGCCGTTTAAGAGAAAAAAATAATTTTTGTAAATATTAAATTTTTTAAAATTTATATGTGCAACCCTAAAATTATGTTGCACATTTTTTCAACCATCCAAGAAAATGTCTACGAAAAAAATAAGTTCTTACTCACTTCATTTCATAATATGATTTATAAATTTCAAAATTTTTCAGATATTGATTGAAAATTTCGTTTAAGCGCAGCGAGTTTCGATTATCCGAAGTTCTTTTAATTGAAAATTCTGCTTAAGAGAAAATTTTTTTCTGAAATTAGGCGTTTTCGCTTAACCGAGTTCGACTGTATAATGAAAAACCAGTAAGGAAAGTAGTAAAGTCGGACGGGGCCGACTATATGATACCCTTCACCACTATGGGTATATTAAACAGGACTATTAACATGAAATTGGATGAAATAAAATATGTGATATTTATCTAAATTTGAAACTACCTAGATCTATCCATAAACATGTCATTCGTTTGTTGCAATGGGACAAAAGTATGTAAATCGACTTCAAACAAATATAAATAGGTCATCCGTTGGGCTTTATCTGTATTTCTAGAAAACGCAACTACGTAATTATATTCTCAATTTTGTAAGTTGTGCAAAATTTGATGTCAATCTGACTAACATGAGCAGTTTGATGCCCAATTTACTTGAAATCGGGCGAAAATATATATGGAAGCTTTATCCAAATATTAAGCGATTTCACACAAACTTGTCACAAGTTAGGTTATACTAATTTCAGAACGTTTTGTTCCTATTGGTTCCTTGGTGCGTCAATTACTTAAAATCAATCTATAATAAAAGGGTGCTATATCTAAATCTAGGCCGATTTTCACGAAACATGGCAGATATCACTCTAGGCTCAATTCAGTACGTTATGCCAAAATTTCGTGCAAATCGAAGGATATATAGGGACTGTGCTGCACCATTCACATGAAATCGGACGAAACTATATATGGGAGCTTTATCTAAATCAGGACCGATTTTCTCAAAACTTAGTAGACATCACTCTAGGCTCAATTCAGTACGTTATGCCATATTTCCTGCAAATCGATGGATATATAGGGACTTTGGTGCACCATTTACATGAAATCGGACGAAACTATATATGGGTGTTATATCTAAATTAGAACCGATTTTCACGAAACAAGGCAGACATCACTCTAGGCTCAATTCAGTACGTTGTGCCAAATTTAGTGCAAATCGAAAGATATATAGGGACTTTGGTGAACCATTTACATAAAATCGAACGAAACTATATATGGGAGCTGTACCTAAATTAGGGCCGATTTTCTCGAAACTTGGCAGACATCACTCTAGGCTCAATTCAGTACGTTATGCCAAATTTCGTGCAAATCGAAGGATATATAGGGACTTTGTTGCACCATTTACATGAAATCGGGCGAAACTATATATGGGAGCTATATCTAAATCTGGACCGATATTTTCGAAACTTGGCAGACATCATTGTAGGCTTAATTCAATACGTTATGCCAAATTTCGTACAAATCGAAAGATATATAGGGACTTTGGGGCACCATTTACATGAAATCGGACGAAACTATATATGGGAGCTATATCAAAATCTTGACCGATTTTTACGAAACTTGGCAGACATCATTCTAGACCTATATGATTAGGCTGTACCAAATTTCGTGCAAATCGAAAGATATATAGGGACCGTTTACATTAAATCGGTTAAATATATATGGGAGCTATATCTAAATCTGAACCGATTTTTCCCAATTTCAATAGGGTTCGTCCTTGGGCCAAACAAATGAGCTGTGCCAAATTTCATCCAATTCGGATCATAAATGCGACCTGTACTTTGCTCACAAAAATACATGGACAGACAGACAGACGGACGGACGGACATGCATAAATCGACTTAAAAAGTGATTCTATGCATATTCTCAAAAGGAACCATGTGTCTATCTCGTTTCCTTTTGTCTGTTACAAACATATGCACAAAGACATAATACCCTGTACCACAGTGTGGTGAAGGGTATAAAAAACAAGTATTTGCGGAGATACACGCCTTTTTTGGGACTTAGAGCTTTTTCTGTTGCTAAGTTTGCATGTTTTCATGGATTTAGGTCTTTTTCTTACATCTTGTCTCTCACAATGGGGTTAACGTGGGTTACTCCAAAACATGGGCCAATATTGATACTTTTTGGTAGAGAGATTTTATACCCAATCAGTTTCCCAAATATAAAATTACAGCTAAAACTCCTTGTACATTAGAACTTTTTACCGGGTTAACCTACTTTATGAGGATTTATTTGACATATATGCAAAGGAAATGACAATTTAAACCCACTGGGTTAACGAAATCCGGTTAAGTGTAAACGTACTGTAATTCCTTTGAAAAACGTGCCCAAACCTACCAAATTTTTTGTTGGAAGGTGTGTTACCCCATAAGTACCTTAAATACCATATTACAGTCAATTCGACTGAAAATCATGTCAAAAATCCTCAAAATAAAAAGTGAACTTAGAGTCTTTACATGATGGTAAGCCAGAGACATGTGATGAATTGGATTTAGCGCCTTTACTAATCAATACAAAATCACAATAACAAATGAGATAACTGTATTTTTTGTATGTATCTTCCTAATTATACATAACTGTATCAAAATCTCAATTTCAAGTTAAACTTAACTTTTCAAGTTAAACCAGCGATATACATATGTATGTATATATTTGAAGATTTAAAAGAGAATAAAATAAATTTACAAAAAAAATAATTTTAATGACGTGCATGATATCTTCCACATCGGAATCCGAAAATTCCAACGGTGTTAAAAAGAGTACATGTCTGGCTCTCGTATGAACAAGAATCATTGACTTCGCTGAAAATTTAACAAAATGGCGGACGTTTGTTCTTTGGAAAATCGTATATTTTTGACCAAAAACTATATTAAAAAATAAGGAAGATATTCACCGATTGTATTTATCCTAAATCATACTGTAGCTATACATTCACGTGTGTTTTTGAGTTATCGTGCCCGCCATTCGTAAAAACAATGTTTCGAGAAAAACGCGTTTAAAGTTTGAGAAGCACTTCAGCCCTCACTTGATGTTGACATAATTAAGCGGCTATATCTTCAAAAGCTGTTGAGAGTCTCTCTTGAAATTTCAAAGACACATTCTTGAAAAAGTGTAGGTTAAAAAAAAATAATTTTTTGAAATTGGGTGGGCTCCCCTTAAATGACTGAAAAGTCAAATATTTTAATTTTGTTTTCTTTTAGGGCTTTCTTCATATTCTCTGATACCCATTTTCTAATTCCACCTGTTTTAGTATGGTTGTACCGAATAACAGTAGGAAATATTAATAAAAAAGACTAAGTGAACAAATGGTTTGACTCAAGGCGTATGTGAAAGTTCGTAAAATGGAAACAATGGACAGAAGAAATGACATGCAAAATCATTCACACATTAAAAGGGATTCTTACCATCTGCCATAACGGCATAACTGTTAAATAAAAAGGCAATATATATGCTTTTCAATTATACTTCCATGATTGGATTTAATCAAATAAATAATTGCTAATACATATTAAATTAATTGCACTAAAACTCACAAGTATTATTATTGAATGTACAAATTAGATAGGATTCTACAAATATGGGTGTATGTTCAAAGACGGTTTGTTTGTTTGTCTGTCGGGGTATGAGGTGGCTTAGTGGCCAGTACCATTTTCAAGTATATCTCGTGCGGTTACTGCACAATTTTCGGATATCGTGGTTGGGGAGTGTACTGTTGACATTTTCAGGTCAATGGTTTGTGTAGTTGCCTTGGGAAGGGTCGTAGCTACCACAAATGTTTGGGGTTGTGATCGTTGGACTTGGAGGGGTTTGCCAGCATCCGGTGGGTTGGTGTGAAGGGTTTTAAAGGCACTGTGCTCACCTCCCATTAATAATGGAGCTGATGCTGTGGGTGATGGATGCAGTGCTGTCACTGTCGCTTGCTTGAGACATGGATTCGGAGATACGTCGGATATTTCTCTCGATGATGGTCTGTTGTGTTGTGTGCTGTTTGTATGGATGGTAGTGATGTTTGGCGTGGACATGGCTAAAGGTGGTGGACTCGGGAGCTTGACAATCGTATCGCTGTGCAGTGTGGACAGTGATCGCTGGTGGTACGCTGGATACAGTGAGACCAGTTGGCTGCTGACATTGTGACATATCGTGTTCGGGATATTGTCGCTTGGAGTGCCCGTCGAAAGAAGTAATGGTATCTTGTGGGGGAACTGCGTGTCCGCGGGGTTGTTGACAGGGGATGAGTGGTGCTGTGGCTGGCTGATAAAATTCCCCTGTGGCGATGTCGAGTCCCGTTTTCGCAGCAGATTCACACGTTGATGTCGTCGCCATTTGGCTCGTCTGTTGGAAAACCAAACCTAATTGATCAATATGAAGAAACCATTTGTTAGTCTATAAATGTGTCAATGTGACATTTATGGTGGTTATTGGAACAGGTATGCGTGTATGTAAATTTGGCATGTGTTCGTGAATACGTTTATTATGTGTGTGTATGTATTTGTAAATTTGTGTTACCCAAGTTGAATAATAAGTAGTTAGGGAAACTAAATGCATCCATACCTGAACTCTGGCTTCACTCAGTCCAGTTCGAGAGGCCAGTTTTTCTCGCGTGCTTACACATGGGTAATGTGATTTTTCAAATTCCTTTTCAAGTTCTTCTAATTGATCCTGATTGAAAGTGGTTCTGTTCCGACGAAATTTGGGCTGATCGCTGTCATCAGTATCGGTATCCTCACCCTCAATATCTAAATTACAACAAATGAAAGGGAAAAACTAATTATTTATAACTGCCATAGCAGTAACTGAAAAATTATGTTGACTACTAAATGGTTGGTGTATTAGGAAGATATCTTAAAATGAATGATTGTTTATGGTATTTGGACAAAATTCATCGGTCTGTGATATTTGGTACGTAGTTACCGATTTCGAATATTTGTATATAAATGACTGTGATTGTTGAGCAGTGCGTTCACACAAGTTACTCTCAATGGGAGGACGAGTGCAGGAGTTATAGTAACATGCCAAAGTAGCCCGGATAACCTGGGCCATTCCTCCGCGTACGTCCTTGACCGGATTAAATTGTCAATTTCATTGCATATATGGGAAATTACAAAATTCGTTTAAAATTCCCATGGTACAATTATAAATAGTAACAGAAAACCCAGCTGATTTGATTCCAACCATGGTACAAGAATACAAGGTAGGGCAGCTTGAGGTGAATAACAAAAAAGCAACTATGCACGTGTGGCCTCTTCTGCCAAAAATAAAATAAATATACGCAACAAGTGTTTGTGTTTATTTGACATTTTTTTTTTTTTCAAAACAAAACTAAATACGCGAAAAATGAATGAAAGGTTATGATTTCTTCCCAAAATCCAGTAGGGAATACCTTCAAATGTTTGTTTCATCCATAACCATGAAACTACTTCCAGACGAACGTGTTAAAAACTTTATTTTCATTTTAATTAAACTTGAATATATTTCAATTTATTTTGAATTTATTTGACATTGTATTCAAAACAATATGCACACATACACAAAATATGTATTTTGATTTGATGGAACAAGCCACCTTGAGAAAAAATTGTAATCAGTTGGTAGCTGTGCCCTACTTTGTAATAATTATACCATGATTCCAACGTAATGCTAGTGTCAATATGAATATGACAAATTATGTCTTTAAAAATCACCCAACAGAAAAATTGGGAACGCATACAATTGAAATTTGTCTTTATTAAATGAAAATACACAAAAGTAAACCCATTTTAAAAGAATTGGTTATGAACCGCGGATGTCGCGCCACAATCACTTTTGGATAAAATACCCATATTAGTTGCGTATCGATGTATTTTTTACCTATTTTCACACTGATTCGCGAATATGATAATACAAACATGAATGTATGTAAAATCAAATCGAAGAAAAACGCGATTATATACGCGAATAAGTTTTTGCAGTTTTTCCTACATTCAAGGCATCTATACCCGGCGTTTTATTGGGCGCAATTGAACATGGCTGGGATCATTAGAATCAGTAAAAAAACTAAAAACACGCGGGGTTCCACTGCATTTGAATTGACTTTCTTAAATTTAGACTCAAAAAATATGGTTTCCATTAAAATTTAAGCACCAAATTTTCGTCTTTGGAATCCAATTGCAAATAAGGTATGGTGAGCACATTCATGAGATATACACTAAACGAAGCAAAATCACGCGTTCTACAACCCAATAATCAGTTTAGCCCATAATCTGGTTGCGCGTCCTGATTATAGGAAAAATTAAAAAAAACACCGAAAATCCGGATTCAAAATGTCAGCATCCGTTTTGGGTGGATGTAGTGATTATATCGAAAAATCATACATTACAACCATATTTTCCATGGGCATTCTTCAACTTAGTCACTGATCACATGTGCGGGCGGCGCGTAGTTTAGCCACAAATCAGGAAAGAACACAAAAACACTTGTTGGATTCTACACTTTTTCATCCATTTTTATATTACCACCATCACAGCTTCCACTCAACTTATTATTTATTACCAATATTCTAAGATTTTGACAAGAACACTTCATTTTATAGAAATGAATTTAAATTATATGCAATATGTTCATATTTCGCGAGTTATAAGCTTCTAAACTTCAGTTTCAAGGAATTTAAAACATTTTTGTAATTTCCCATATATCAAAAAAAAAAAAAAAAAATCCTCACTAAATAGGGTTACCCAGTAAAAAGTTCTAATGTACAAAGTGACCTGACCATCAGGTCATAAATGAGGCATACCTATCATTCTGTTGGCTTCCGGAGATCCCAGAGTGTCATTGCCACTGGAAGCTGGAGACAATCGAGAAACACAATCATTACAATTGTTATTTTCCATTTCGGTGCTGTTAGATTCGACCGGTTTATCCAAAATGGTTGTAGCGTGATTAACGGAGGCTGGTTGCCATAGTTGGGGTGTTGGTGGTAAAGCTGTTGGCCATGTTGGAAAGCTTGCATATGGATGTTGGGGATTTATGTAGCCATAACTTGCAGCTCGTGCAAATTCTGCAGCTGCGCGTTCAGCAGCTCTGTTTCTTAAAATTCTATTTATAGAGGAAACTGAGGGTGCAGTGGCATTTGTGCAGACCCCTAAAAAAAAACAAAAAATAAAATAAAATCGTCTGAGTAAATTATAATTCAAATATTTTTATATAACAACTTAAATAACGCATTAAAAAGGTTGCGAATATATATGTATATAAATATATAGTGTTAAAATGTTTTAATGTGTTATGAATATGCATAGAATATGCAAAATGAAACGAAACTAGGCCCATGGTTCCTTTTGCGAATATCCATAGAATCAATTTCTGAGCTGATTTGCGCATGTCCGACCGTCCGGCCTACTTTTTTGGCCCAAGGACGAACCATATTTAAATTCAAGCAAATCGGTAATTTAGGGATTTTGGGTACATTTCCAACCGAACTGGGTGTTATTTGGTATTTTTGGTTATCATTGAATAACATTGAGCCAAGTTTCAGAGTAGCCACCATATAATATTCGTTATTTTTGGGAATTTGGACATGTTTTACCACCGAATTGGCTGTAATATGTTGTTTTGTATTCACATTTGCTGTCAAATCTTACTACCAAAAAATATCAATATTGATCTCCGTTTTAGTATAGCCCCATATAACGGTAGCCCACTATTAGATTTTTTGAGAATTTCAGTCATCTTTTTCTCACGTATTTTTCGGTATGTTCAAGGTCCTATCATAACATGAATTTTCTCCTATGAGCCCCCATTCATTTTTGATATTTTGATTGTCATCCTCACGGAGGGGAATAAAACATGGTTTTTAGTTGTTTTTTAATATTTTTGGTTTATTCCTTACGTGTTTGACGTTTTGCTGTCAATATTTGTTTAAAAAGTTTATATTACTTTTTACTGGCAATTTATATATGAACTGATCAAATTGTTCACTTCTGTATAAAATGGGATAATATATAAATATATATATATATATATATATCCATATCTAAACCGATTCCTCTCTAATTGGGCACATGTGTTTTCTGAGCGTTGTTAACATATATGTACTAACTTTCATATTATTATTTCTATTGTTTTATAGAATATTTTTTTAATATTGAAATGTTAACATTTTTTATTGCAAACTAAAATTAATGGGGACTTCTAGGAGAAAACTCAAAAATGCCCAAATTAGCGAATATTGGAGGCTATCGCTTGCATCTCAGACTCAAAATGTTTTCTAAATTTTGAAATTTTGCTTTTAATTCTGAAATCTTAATGTTGGTAATACTGTAATATTTGTTTGATTGATATAAAATTATTTGGATGTAACATCAAGGTTCACACATTTTTACAATTACATTAAACGACGAAAGCAATCGTTACATATGTCATTACCCTACACTACATTACTTTTGGACCAGTGGACTATCGATATTCTTGCATAGCTTATTGGCTTGAAGTTTTTACAAAATATCTCGTTAAGACTCCATTCGATCCGGATGTTCATAAATTAACCAATCAATAAATCTTCGAGTACACCATGTCTGCTCTGCCTACATGGCTGGTGGGATTAGCTGCGGTCACATGCACTCGTATTGATTACCACAGTCTACTCCACAGTACAGACAGTATAAGCTCCATCTACTGGAGAGACATGACACAGGCATGTCAGTTGATCTTCCTCTTGCTTTTAGGCATTCTTGGTTTTTCATAAGGGTACAATTTGGTGCGCATCAAAACGATGCCCACCCTGATCGAAGTGCTTCGGTTTAGTGATTTGCGTAATCAAGATTAGCGCCGCAATGAGTTAGGCTTGTCGTTAATTCGATTGCTGATTTCCTCCAATTGTGTCTGTGGCCGTTGTCGTTGTCGCTGTCATTGACATTGCCATTGTTGTAGTTAATGTGCTGATCGGTATTGCTGCTGTTGCATCGTCGTCGCTGGTTTGATAACTCCGCTCATAAGGCGAGTAGATGGCAAGAACGAACAAATGCCGGGGAGTCATTAAATTAGCATTTATTTGTATTGCCGTAGCCAATTCAGTGTGTACGAGTATGCACTTAAATAAGTAGTTAGTTATTAATGAGCCACTTACCTTCGGATATCAGTCGCTCCCGAATTTCCCACGCAAATATTGTAGGGTTCTCACGTTTGTATTGTTCGATTTTTGAGACAACCGCTGGTGTAGCTACCTTTGGCTTTGATCCTCCAATTAAACCAGGTGGTCTCAGGGTACCTGAAATGTCAATAACCAGTTGTTAGTGTTTTGAAATCTTAAATTGTTTGAGTGACATAAGCAAAACGCCAACCCGATGAACAAAATCTTAAATGGAACACATTTGCTGTAAACCAGATGCGATTGCATATCATGCATCAATTTTGCATACTTGAATAAAGTTATCTGTCCTTTAGATAACTTTATTTCTAATCCTTAATGTGCAGACACACACACACATATATATAGTTCAATAAAAGTGATTGGTTGCTTTTTAAGTATTACCAACAGTCAATTTATATACGTAGTGAAAGTATATATTAATTCATGTACCCACATGAAATTCTGTGTAGATATATGTCATGTCTCCTGATCCGAGATGGATATTTTCTTGAATAATACTGTCAATGGACGATTATTAGGAAGTAATATATTAATAAAGAAGATACGACACGTTATTATTGAAATTACATCTTTTATAATTTGAGAACTGTTGCAATTAGTTCAAATGTGTTCGGTATTGGCAGGTCTGAACCTTAGTATGTTTCAAATAATTGTGTTATCTTAACAAAATTGCGAGGTGTCAATCGGTGTTGTCGACTGATATATAGCCCTAAAGTATGGTTTGCGGAAGCCTACGGAATTTCGCACAGTTTTTTTATTAAGTTGTTATAAGGTATACGTTTTTATCAGAGTTGACCATCTGCGGCGAGATACAAAAGAGGTTACTCAAGCTGACCAAAGCTAATTCAAAAGTTACCATGTTAAAGGCTATATTTTTATACTATTTCTCCGCTTCCGATAACATTTTTTTCCAATTAATTGCAAATTTTATGTAATTCCCATTTGGCCTCAATAATTTATTTAATGGTATGCATAAAATATTCCATCCTTAACTTATAACTATTTCCTGAATATGTCATATTTTTTTTAAAAACCTCGTCACTAAAAAACGTAAATAACTTTTAGGTCCGCAAGTCTCCGCAGCTAATTTATTTACGCGCTGAAGAACACCATTTTCAAAACTCGAATAAAAAAGTATTAGGACGAAACCTTTTTTGTTCTACTCCACTAATTTAAAAATATAGCTTTAAAATTATATGAACCAAGTACTACTGTGTGGATAACTGTAAACAACATATTGTCTGTATTTATATAAAAACAACAATGAATCCTAGTTTTTAACATCCCTAGCAACCAAAATAAACACTTTTATGATAACCGATAATTTTAATATTCAAGATTTAAGCATCAGAAAAATGTACCCATTTTTCGAAAACAGGTGAAAAAAACTGTTTGTCAGCAATTATCAGATTTGAACACTTGTATAGACAAAACTATTTGACGTATCAATACCAAATTTCATATTTATTCTAAATGGAGTGTTTTCTATCAATTCTCATCAATAAATTTGTCCTCCGAGGATGTTGGTTTTGACAATTTTTGCCGCGGTCATGACACTGTGGGCTGTGTTTTGTTTTGGAATTGTCCTACACGCAGCACACTTGGTGGTTATTAGGTTTGCAAACGTTTGTTTGACTTGTTTCCTTATTGCAGGCATTGTTACCGAACTCTGAATTGGTGTTAGAAAATCCACATATGCATTTCCAAGTTGTTTTCATATAAATGTACCCTGCAAGCATTTGGAAGAGAGTTTCTCACTCCCTCGCCTAATAAGTCACTTCGGCGTCACTTCTTTTCGGATAAAAGTTACAAAACCTATTTACACTCTTTCAAAATTGTCTCTCATCTCAGTTAATGTAAGATTTACAAAATGATCTGTAGGTGTCGAAGAAAAATGTTTATAGTTGTTCAATAGCGTAATATTTATTTAATACGAAAAGTGTAACAAAAAAAAATAAACACTGAAAACATGAGTGGAGTGTCTGTACTTATCCAAACTTCTTGGTCTAAACTTTGCTAACTTAATATACCAATTTTGACATACTGCCATAAAAATATCTAGAAACAAATACAGTACTCCGATAAAACTGCTAAATACCAGTGATTGTGAAAATAATTTATCACAACATATGATTTCGAAAAAAATACTTCATGAATAATCGAATTATAAATTGATTTTATGATACTATATCAGTAGTGGCAGTTCAGCACGGAGGAAGGCAGCAAAAGAACATCAATTCGTACTTATCAACAAATTGGCATAGTAGTAAAAAATACCCATATAAAAGTTCAACAGGACTTGTGAGACGATTATCGTTGGATAAAACCTCGAGGACAGAGCGTGGACGAGCTGTGGTAGCAGGCCTATATGTCCGGAAACTATCAAGAAAGGTCTTTTATTTCTGTAAAGAATCGGAATATCAGATTGCCTTTCTCAAAATCTCATATTAATTGGAATTCGACTCAGTGGTGAAATATTATGCTCTCGGATGAATTAAAGGAAAACGCTATGGTTACCTTCGCTGAAGAAATTATACCGCTTGTTTGGGTGTTTCAGCTTGACAATAATCTCCAAACATACAGCAAAACATGTTAATTCAGTTTGCAATTTCAGTATTTTCAAAAAAGTTACAGGTCATTTATTCAGTTTGCAATTTCAGTTTCTTTAGTTTTGGCCACCAGTTTGTATATATATATAGGCCTATATGTCCGGACAGATATGTATACCGATATTTTATGTTTTCATTTAGAAACGGCCTGTATCATTCATATTTTTAAACTCATAAAAGAACCTATACCAATAATTAGCAATGACTTAAAATAACAAAAACAAAAATTTTATTTTTAACTTTAATAATCATACTTGATATTAGAAAGCAGTTGTGTTTAAACAATTTTGAAAATTTAATGGAGATCAGTGGGGAGATCTCAAACTATATATAGTTTATCCGTTTTAACCCTTGGTGAGCAATATGATTTTCAAAAATAAAACGAATTTTATAAAAAAAACATCGTTTTAATTGAGGGGACTGTTAAAATAATGTAAAGCTTGTCCAAATTATGTCATTGCTCTTTGCAAAACGACGTCATAGTCATTCGTGTTACCTCAACATTCCAAATCAATGTTACTGCCAACAGACACGTATATATGTACATATATGAAGGCAATAATGTGAATTTAAAGTCGCATTGTTCTTATGGTAATTATTAGATATAGCTTCGAGCTACTGTGACTTTAGGCAAATGAATGGAATGGAATGGTACACAAAAATGAATGAATAAACAATGGACAATAGTGTTTATTCACGTTTCAATAGATTTAGAGTGAATGAATGAATTTGTACCCGCTGAGAAATGTGAGAAACACTGGGGCCCACCTTGTGTTGTTCCGATTTGCTTCGCACATGCGGGAAGTAATCAGTAACTTGACTACTTTCCGTTAGAACTTATACTTATACGGAAATTCAGAAATAAATATTTTGAAGCTGAGGAATTAGGCAGGGCATAATTACAAAAGGTGGTCTCATGCAGACATATGATTCCAATTTTTCAATAATTTTAATTTTAACAACTGTACAAGTTCCGATACAGGCGTATGGACTTGTAGGGGTTCTAAATCTACAGAGTAGCTTTAGAGCCGAAAGTAATTGTTGCACAAAGACGAACAACAATAAATATTGTTACGAATATAACTTTAGATTTAAGTTAATTTAGATGAATTCCGTTAATTTAAGAATTTGAATTGTAACGTAAATTTCTACTACGCAGTTTATTCGAATAACGTCACAACAACAACTACTGCATAGATTTTTCTACATCCTTCCATTTCCTCTTTCATTTTCTATTTTGTTATTGACGTACAATTCTTGTTAAACGTCATCATTGATGATCGCTTAATTCCTCTTTCTTTGTTACTCCCTCGCCTGTATATGTGTTGTTGTTATTGTTCACTCAATGTAATTTTGTATGTGTTTGTTGCATTGGTAGATTGTTCGTAATCTAGGTGTTACCAGATCGTCTAGAAACTTCTGTAGCGACAGGCAAGGCTCATATAAATAGGGGAAAGGGCAAGGCAGTTAGTCAGTTGTGAATCAGATCGCGAATTGAAACCGTCAAGTAAAGTGCAAAGTAAAGTTGTGTCAATAACATCATTGTAATATTCGTAATCAGAAAGAACCCGCGTTTTATTTAGTACGAACTGTATTGGGAAATAAAACAACGTCTACACGGGATTAAGTAAAATCCAAGAACGTAATAATTGGTGTCGGAAGTGAGATTAAGATAATACTACGATGAAGTTTAAGGATCTACGAGTGGAAGACTTGAAGAAGGAGCTCAATAAATTGGAATTGTCCTGTACTGGCAACAAGGCTGAACTACAAAAACGTCGGTTGGATGAGTTCGAGCGCCGTGGTATGAACATCGATACATATGAGTTTGACAGTAAGGATGAAGTGGATTTATCGGAAATGGGCGAATCCAACGGTGGGAAAGTCTCGTCAGTAGCTGCCAGAGGTGACGATTTAAGAGAAATGCTGGCTAAAATATTTGAGGAAAATTCCAGAAGGAGCGAAGAGAATTTCAGAAAGTTAGAAGAAAACACGAGACGAATGTTCGAAGAAAATTCCAGAAAGTTAGATGAACTCAGGGCAGAATGTTTGACGAAAATTCGAGAATAATTAAGGAGAAACTCGAGAACATTACAGAAGTTATTGGAAGGAGAGTGGAAACCGTGGAGGTCCAAATTAAAGAGTTGGATAAGAAAATGCAGTCGGTTGACGAGAAGATTCTATCTGTGGATGAGAAATTTCTGGCCCACGACCACAGGTTTACGAATCTGGAGAAGAAAATGTCGGAGCTGGAAATCAAAGGTGGTCCGGTGGGAGTTCCTGATAACACACTAAAAATCAAACCTCCTGTATTCGACGGCTCTACGTCATTCAATGTTTTCAAGTTACAGTTCGAGACAGTGGCTTCTAGAAATTCGTGGAACGACAGCGACAAAGCGGTTGCACTACTTCTGGCATTGAAGGGCAGTGCTGCTGATGTTATACAGAGTATTCCTGTCGCTTCTAGGAACAACTATGAAGATGTTATTGCGGCACTGGAACGTAAGTACGGTGGCGAACATAAACAAAA